TTACTGAGCTAAATCCCCAACCCCATGATGGCCCAGTACTTGAACAATGATTGCTCTCGTATATCTATCTAGGAGCACAGTTGTTTATTTCCTCTTCTGCCTTAACATACCAGAACATGTCACAGAAGCATATTCATCAATTTGACAGGGCTACTGAGGATGAAGCTGACATCTGTCACTTGGGGTTCACCTTGTATTACCTTTGGAACCAAGTACCTGCTGAATGCTTAACAAACTATCTGGTTTAACTTCAGCTCACTGTGCACACAGGTTTCCTGTAGCTGCCTGGTTGTAGCAGTTGTCTGACCAGGGAGACCTGTGTTGCTGAAGATGCACCTGTTGTTGGTGAAGGTCCCACTCAGAATCCTGATTTGGCCAGAAGACAGCTTTCTGCATTTGGGTCTATTAGAAGATTAATTTGTGGTGATTAAGACCATCTGAGTTCCAAATATGTCTTTAATACAATTTGTCTTGTCTGCTATTGGAAGTCCTGGAATCTTTTCCCTTATTGTTCCCACTTGTAAAACAGAGACAATGGTGAAATCTTATAAATGGTTGTAGGCACTTAAGATGCTTTTTCTTTTGGGGAAATAGGGTCTCATGTATTCAGGCTGGCCTCAAACTCTTATGTATAGCTGAGGACGACCTTGAATTTCAGATCCTCCCATCTCAACCTCCCTAGTGCTGTGATAACAGGCATGTGCCACAGGGGCAGTACACATGGCACTAGGGATAGAACCTAGGGCATTTGCATGTTAGACAAACACTTTGCCAACTGAGCCCCAAGCCCATGGTAATATTTCAAAAATGCTTAGACCAGACCTAAAGAAAATGGGGACCCAGTAAATGAGAGCTGGAAATTATTCTTATTTGACATTTTGACTTTTTTGCAAGTATGAACTTTTTTTTTTTTTTGGTCTTTTGAGACAGGGTCTCCCTGTAGCCCCAGCTGGCCTGGAACTCACTATGTAGACCAGGCTGGCCTCGAACTTACAGAGATCTGCCTGCATCTACCTCCCAAGTGCTGGGACTAAAAGCATGAACCACCACACCTGGCCAGCAAATATGATCTTTTAAAAAAATTATGTATGGGGCTGCAGAGATGGCTCAGAGGTTAAGAGCACTGACTGCTCTTGCAGAGGACCCAGGTTCAATTCTCAGCACCCACAATGCGGCTATCAACCATCCTTAACTCCAGTTCCAGGGGAAACAGAAGCCCTCTTCTGACTGCTGCAGCATTGCACGACACAGGTGCACTCACATACATGCAGGCAATACACATACACATAGAATAAAAATAATTTTAAGAAAATTATATGTATGGATGTTTTGCCTGCATGCAACACATACATGCAATTCTCATGGAGGCCAGAAAAGGATATCAGATCCCTTGGAAATGGAATTAAAGGCAGTTGTGAGTCAACATGTGGGTGCTGAGAATCAAAACCTGGTCCTCTGCAAGAGTAGCTAGTGCTCTTAACTGCTCTAGCACCACAAATATGAACTTTTAATGCCATACTAGCCAGCAGATTTGGATTTAATTTTTTATTTTTTTAGTTTTTGGTCTTTTTCAGACAGCGTCTCCCTGTGGCCCCAGCTGGAATTCACTATGTAGACCAGGCTGGCCTTGGACTCACAGAGATCTGCCTCCCTGGATTAAAGGCAAGTGCTACCACGCCAGGCTCTGGACTTAAATTTTTTTTTCTCTTTTTTGAGACAGGGTCTCCCTGTGGCCCCAGCTGACCTGGAACACACTGTGTAGACCAGGCTGGCCTCGAACTCAGAGATCCACCTGCCCCTGCCTCCCAAGTACTAGGGTTAAAGGCATGTATACCACCACGCCTGGCTTGGATTTAAACTTTATTATTTATCTATATAATGCCTGTGTGTGTGTGTGTGTGTGTGTGTGTGTGCACATACATTTGAAAGTCAGGGGACAGCTTTGTGAAATCAGCTTTCTCCTTCCACCCATACATGGATTCTGGGTCTCAAACTCAGGATAACAGGCTTTCGTGACAAGTCCTTTTACGTGCTGAGCCATCTCACCAGCCCCTGGTCAGACAGGGTCTCACTATGTACCCTGGCTGAAGCTTGCTACATAGACCAGACTGGCCTCGATCCCATAGAGATCCACCTGCCTCTGCTTCCTAAGTGTTGGGATCAAAGGTGTGTGCCACCATGCTCCAGGCATTAGGGTCTTGAGTTGACCTCTGAAATTAGATGTCAAGAAGACAAAGCTTTAGTTAAGCCTCTTTGCTTGGTCATTATCCTTCTGACATTCTAAGTTGTTGTCTATTTGAGACATGGTCTCCCTGTACCCCCAGCTGACCTGGAACTTGATCTCAGAGAGATCCACCTGCGTCTGCCTCCCAAGTGCTAGAATTAAATGCATGCACCACCACTCCCGACTGCCGTTTAAGTCTTATTCACTGTGCAACAATCAAAATTCACACATTATTCGTTAGCATGTTTGGATTCTGCAAATGGGCAAGCACTCTACCACAGAGCTTTGGCTTCAGTCCTTTTGCTTTGAGACAGGGCTTCACTAAATTGTCCAGACTAGCCTCTGGTCTATAACCCTCCTGCTTCTGCCTCCTATATAGATGGAATTACAGGCCTGAATCACTATGCCTAGATTAAATTTGCTGCTTAAGGCACTAAAGCTTAAAATGGTCTCAGAAATCATCTTATCCAATCTACTTATTTTACAGACTGCTGAGGAACTAAGACCTGAAGAAGAGATGAGCCCTGCTTAGTGTCATACCCTAGTGGGTAACAGAGCAGAAGTCAGAACTAGACAGCTCTCCTCTTCCCAACATGCTTTTCCACCTGCCATGTAGTTGTGCTCTTAGAGGTTCAGACCATGCTTCCTCCTAGCTGTGGATTCCTTTTGGAGTATAACTTCTTGGTGAACAGCCAGCCCTGCATGTCCCCATATACAGCTCTCTACTGGGACAGCTTGGTCCCCTGAAAAGCTGAGTCAGGACACGGGCTATGAGACCCATGTTAGTGACATTCCTAAGGGGCCAGGGACCCCAGCATGATTCATAACAAGTACCTTCCAAAACTGACAAACGTCCCCTACTTGTGTGGAAGAGCACTGATGTGACAACTCTCTCCATTGTTTTGCCATAGTTCTCATTTTATGGATGAAGAAACAGATTTACAAAGATTAAGGAATAAATACAAACTCATAATTATCAGAGCCTCAATTTCAATTCAGGTTTCTTTTACTGTAGTAGTTAGGGCTAGATCTGTAATGTGGGACTAGAGCACTGATAGAAGAATATGGCAGCTGTGATTAGGTGAGCTTGTGAGGGTAAAAGTGAAATAGCAGAAGAGCCACCTAAGGGAGGAAACCGTTTTATTCATCTTTGTATCCCCAATACCTGATACATCCATTACTGGTGACCAATATATCTTTACAAAATAACTCTTAAAAACAAAAAAACCAGGCATAGTGGTGCACACATTAATTCCAGCACTTAGGAGGCAGAGGCAGGTGGATCTCTGTGAGTTTGAGGTCAGCCTGGTCTCCATAGTGAATTCCAGGCCAACTAGGGCTACATAGTGAAACCCTATCTCAATAAAAGAAAAAAGTAAATCTATGGGGCTTATTTGTGATGTGGCTCAGTTGGTAGAGTATTTGCCAAACATGCACAAAGCCATGGGTTCAATTCCCAGCACCACGTACAAGCAGGTATGGTTGTGCATATCTGTAATTCCAGCACTTGGGAGATAAAGACAAAAGGATTGGAAGTTCAAGGCCATCCAACTACACATCGTTAGAGGCCAGCCTGGGCTTCCTGAGACCCTATCTCCTATCTCAAAAATGATCCCCCCCAAAATAGAGGGGGTGTTGAGAGAGCTCAGCAGGTAAAGGCACTTGCTGCCAAGCCTGATGACTTGAACTCATTCCTGAGAACCAACATGGTGGAAGGAAAGAACCAACTCCTACAAGTTGTCCTCTGACCTCCACATGCACACCATGGCATGCACACACATGCATAAATAAATAAATAAATAGTTTTTAATGTCCAAAAAAGTAAATCTATGAATGCATAAATTAGTAAATGGTTGAATGAGTAAAGAAATGTGCCACTTAGCACAAGTTTCTGGAACCCAAGAGGTATTCGCTAAATAATTCTTTTTCTTGATCTAGAGGGAGAGACCATATTTGCTTGCAGTCTGTGCCTGCACTCAGTAGGCCTCGATGAGTGTATGCAGGTGAAATGACTGACTCTTAGGAGCTCTGAGACTTTGAGGCCATAAGAAAGCGCCAGTCTTAGTTGTAAGCAGAGACTCATGCTCAAGCTCCACAGAGTTAGTGTGGCCATAACCAGGGTTTCCTTACACTGTGAAATGAGTCACCCATCTTCCAGCTGACCTAATCTACCTGCTACCCAGATTCAGTCTCCGGTCAGCAGCATATGCAGTAGAGGTGAGCTGCAGATCCATCAACTGTAGAGCAGAGAATGTACTCTCTAACCAATTAAACTAGACCGCATTTTGCTTCTCCACCTTTTTTTTTTTAATCTATCTTTAAGCTTGGCATGGTAATGCACACCTTTAGTTCCAACACGTGGGAGGCAGGTGGATCTTTGTGAGTTCAAGGCCAGCCTGGTCTACATGGTGAGTTCAAGGGCAGCTCAAGGGCAGCCGAGGGCTACACAGTGAGACTCTGTCTCAAAACAAAGCAAAATAAAGATCCATTTTTATTTATGTATGAGTGTGTGTATGCCATTTGTGCAAGTGCCCATAAGCCTCCCAATGTGGGTGCTAGGAGCTGAACTCCAGTCCTTTGGAAGTATAGCAAGCACTCTTAACCACTAAACCATCTCTCCAGCTCTCTTTCTGTCTTAGGTTTCAAATCTCAGTCCCCTGTATCCAATGAGTATGTCAGTGTCTAAAGAGTTCCTGGTATATTGCAGTTGCTCAATAAATATTGGTGGAATAAGTAAATGAATAAGGAAAAAAGAGGACTGAAGGAAGAGACAGGCTGACTGATGCGGGTCTATTTATTGGCAGAGTCCTATAAGGCCAAGACCACACCCTCCCCACCCTCTTCCCTGCAAAAATAAGCTCTATCCTTCCTTTTCCCTGTTATATCTCTACTTTCCGTTTGGCCCAGGGAGAACCAGTCACGCCCTAAGACTTGTACCCTGAAACACAGAGAACCAGCACCCTCTATACATACACACTTCTCTAACCCCAGAGAGATGGGCAACAGAAGGACTATTCAAGCCCTTGCTTGGCCTTCCACTTCGAGTTCAGTTGCTCTGTCCATGAGGGGGTAAAAGCAATACTAGGAGTACCAGCACAAGGATATGGGTGGGGAGCAGCTCCTGAGGGTGGGATTAAAGGGAGCTGTGCTCATTCCCATAGGAGCACTGAGTGAGCCTGGGTGCAGATGGGAGGTACAGCCCCAGGCTTATGCCTATGGCTCCCAAACTGAAAGAGCTTGGAGTCAAAAGAGACAGACTCCTTTCTGTGGGAACTGGCACCCCTGCCTAGACTTCCTCCAGGCAGGGGGACACATGAAAGGATGTCACAGTGAATGGTGGGGGCTCTGCTGGAGGCAGGAGTACCCCCAAAGCAGAGGCACGATGTGGTGGTAGAGGGGAAGGGCTAAATTTCATGTCACTTACAGTGTTAAGAGACTGGACCCAGCCCAGCTCACCTCTGCTTGTTCCTAACTTGGAAGCCCCAGGCCCTGGCCACAGCTGGCCATTTCTCTCCCACCTGGGTCTACCACACCTCACATAGCTGCCCTGGGTTCATGGGGGAGCCGACAGGGCAGCCGAAGTGCCGCAGGAAGTCACGGGAGTTGGAGAGAGTGCCCAGCACGCGGAAACGGGCAGGGCTGTGGGGGTCGGTCACCAGCCCCTCGTGAGAGCTCTCTGGTGTGCGGACCGAGCACCACACCTGCGGGCCAGGACAGACACAGGGACATATGGTGTCTAGTGTGGAGCTGAGCTAAGCCATAGCCTCAGTTGCAGCAGAGCCATCTTGAGGTTAAAAACCACCACAGCACAGCCCCTGAGCTCAAGAGACCTCAAGGTCACTTCAGGAGACCAGCCAGATGTAAGGGAGGGGAACATGTCTGCCTCCCCATTTCCTTGAAGCCCTTCTGAAGAGACACTGGACACTGGGTAACCTGGCATGGGACAGGGCTGAGGGGAAAGGCAGAGCTACTTAAGGTTGCTTGCTATGGTGCAAAGTGCCTGGAAGAGGCCCTGCCTGGGTCTTACCTCTGCCACTCTATTCCTGAGTAGCCCTGAACAAGCCATTTTGTGACCCCAGGCTATAGTTTCTTGCTCCCCAGTTCCCCATGGGAACATGAAAGGATCAATTCCTCCTTCCATCTCTTCCCCACTTATGAAGGCAGCCCTGCCCTTTGAGATTTGTAAAGTCCTACTAAAGACTTCTCCCTCCTCAGGTTGCTTTCATGGGCTCTGGACACACAGCCTTCCAAATGCACTTCCCACATGCCAACTGTGGTCCCATTTCCCAGCCCCTTTCCTGCATGACCTGACTTCCTCTAATGACTTCCTTTGGAGGGAGTGGACAGGAGGCACACTCAGTTCTCCCAGGGGGCCATACCTGGGCAAATCCCACAAAGAAGAGCTGGTGGTTGGTAAGCCCCAGAGCAGGCAGCTGCTGCTCCTCCCCATGCTTCCTCAGCCATGCTTTGTAAGCCTGGGGGAAGAGTGGGCAGCACGTCTACCAGGGGCCTGCCCACTTCCCCCAGCATCCTTCTATACAGCCTGGGGGACCTCGGTCACTCACATTGTAAGCAGCCTTAAGGCCCCCATTATCAGCGATGTTCTCCCCCAGTGTCTGGCGGCCGTTGAGCCTCTCCCCATTGACTTGGTACTGGTTGTACTGTTCTTCCATGCAGGCTGTGTGGTTCTGGAAGGCTGCCAGTGACTCATTCTGCCACCAGGGACGCAGGTTCCCTTCTTTGTCATACTCACGCCCTGAGAGGAATTTATCTTTGCAACCCACCAATAGGACAACCCACCCCTGGGGGAACAGAGACCCAAGCAACCCTGGCCCACAGACTCCGGGGTCCCTAAAGTCTGCCCCCAACATCCCAAAGCCCTGCAGGAGCCACTAGAAATCTACACTGGTAGATACTGCTCTGTGGACCCCTACCTTGGTCATCAAAGGCATGTGTCAACTCATGGCCCATTACCACGCCAATGCCACCAAAGTTCAGGGCCCTGGTAGGAGGAGAATGCTGAATGAGGACATGGCAGAAGCATTTCTGAATCCCCCCTCCAGCTTTGCTCCCAGCTCACCCACAGGCCCAGGCCCCAGCACCCAGTCCCTTCTGCCTCAGACACACTTGGGGTGGTTGTGGGCATAGAAGGGGGCCTGCAGGATGCCAGCAGGGAAGACTATTTCATTCTTCGTTGGAAGGTAGTAAGCATTCACCGTCTGGGGGGTCATGCTCCACCTGGGGGAGGAAGAGGGAGGCTGAGGCTCCTTAATCTCTTCATGCCCCATCCCCAGCCCAGCAGTCCTGCTCTGCCTTCTACAAGGGTCTTATACTACTCTTTGACCCATCCTTGGAAACCTTGGTCTACCTCCCCTGCAGCCCCCATGTCTGGCCTCCCATTCTCACTGGTCTCGGCTGGGAGGTTTGCGGAGTTGATCAGCCATCACCTTAGCAGAGAAGTTGTATAGATTCAACATGTTTTGGAAAAAAGACTCTTCAGAGACTTCATACTGTGGGAATGGTGGGAGGAAGAGGGTAAATGAGAACATATTGGAGAAGACAATAGTCCCATCAGAACCTTCTAAGCCTCAGTTTCCTCAACTGCAAAATGGGAGCAAAACAGTTATTAAATAATTGACAGGTTTTAAAAAGTACCTATATGCCAGGCGTGGTGGTGCACGCCTGTAGTCCCAGCACTAAGAAGGCAGAGGCAGGCAGATCTCTGTGAGTTCAAGGCCAGCCTGGTCTACTTAGCGAGTTCCAGGCCAGCTGGGGCTACAGGGAGGCCCTGTTGCAAGAAGGAAATAAAAAAAAGTACCTATGTTGAAGGTACTGCATTTTTTACATATTACCTTCTTTTGTTCACTCTGTGAGGTGGCTACTATTAAAAGCTCCATTTTGCAGATGAAGAAACTAAAGCCCAAAGGTCTTGTCAAAGATTACATAGAAACATGATTGAATCAGGCTCAACTCCAAGTATCTGTTCACTCATTAATGATATATTGTACTGCCATCTGACCCATAGCCTGGCATAGAACCAATACTTAAGCAATGTTAAATACCCATGTCTACCTCTAGAAGCAACCAACAGATGCTTCCTTTCCTCTAGTATGTTTGAGCCAGGGAACAGTGGCCCCCATGGAGCTGGTCCGTGCTGTGAGCAAAGGTACTCACCCCATCATAAACATCATCCAGCTCTTTGGGCTCCAGGATGAAGTCCGGAAATCCAATCATGTCATAGATGGCATCTGCCTGTAGAGACCAAGGTAAGGGTTTCCCTCCATGCACTCAGCAAAACCGTGCCCTCTATCCCCACCTCAAGATGGCGCCCCAAACCCAGCCATGGCTCACTTTCTCCTTGGCTGCTAGCCGGGTCTTCTCATCCATCCAAACCAGCTCTCCCAATGCCTCCTCAAAAGCAGACCGGATCTCACTGATCATCCCCTCTGCCTGGAAGGGAGGGTCAGAAGTCAGTCTCAATCTGTACGTATTGCTTCCCTGTTCCCCTATCCACCCTGGGGTGCCATCTGGTCTATCCAGGGAGCCGTGGGATTATGATGTCACGAGGAAAGGCTGCACAGCAGGGAGAGCAAGAAGGAAGCACTATTGGTGAAAGGATTGCTGTCCTGGGCTTTTCTCTAATTAGTTAGATAAACATTTGAATTTGTAGCTAATTAAATTAATAACTTCATATACTAAACTGATTTTATCTGTTTATGAAAGAAATGCTTTAATCAAATTTGTAAAATTAAGAATTGAAGAAAATAGGGGCTGGAGAGATGGCTCAGTGGTTAAGAACATTGGCTGTTCTTGCAGAAGACCCAGTTTCAGTTCCCAGCACCCACAATGGCGGCTAACAACCATCCGTAACTCCAGTTCCAGGGGCTCCAATGTCCTCTTCTGACCTCTTCGGGCATTGCATGACATAGTTGCAATTACATACATACATGAAATTACATATATGAAGGCAATATGCTCATACACATAAAAATAATATTTTTTAAAATGTGTATGGCTTCAGGGTTAGGTGTCTAGTTTAGTGGTAGAACACTTGCCAAGCAGGTTAAAGGCTCTAGGTGCAACCCTTGGCATCACCATTTTTTTTTTAACTTAAAAAGTAAAGCCAGGGCTGGAGAGATGGCTCAGTGGTTAAGAACACTAGCTGTTCTTGCAGAAGAGCTGGGTTCGAATCCCAGCGCCCACATAGCAGCTAACAACTGTCCATAACTCCAGTTCCAAGGGATCCGACAGCCTCTTCTCTCCTCTGTGGGTATTGCACAATATGGGTGCACTTACCTACATGCAGGCAATACACGCATACACATAAAATTAAATAAAAAATAATTTCAAAAATTTTTTTTAAAAAGTAAAGCCAGGCATAATTGTGTATACCTATATTCTTGGCATAGTAGGCTGAGACAGGAGGATAGCAAGTTCAAGACTTCATAGTGAATTCCAAGGCAACCTGAGCTACATAGCAAGACTGTTTCAAAACACGTTTTTTCTTTTTTCTTTCTTTTTTTTTTTTTTTTCCTTTTTGAGACAGGGTCTCTCTGTAGCCTCTCTCGAACTCACTATGTAGACCAAGCTGGCCTTGAACTCACAGAGATCCACCTGCCTCTGCCTCCCAAGTGCTGGGATTAAAGGTGTTCACCACCACGCCCAGCTCAAAACATAATTTTAATAAATAATTTACCTTCAATTTAAAAGCTGCCTCATGGGGCTGGAGAGATGGCTCAGCAGTTAAGAGCACTGACTGCTCTTGCTAGAGGACCGTGTTTTTTAAAAAATATTTTATTTATTATTTTTAGTGTGTATGAGTATGTTGCCTGCATGTAGGTAAGTGCACCCGTGTCATGCAATGCCCTCGGAAGGCAGAAGAGGCCATTGGATCCCCCGGAACTGGAGTTATGGACAGCTGTTAGCTGCCATATAGGTGCTGGGAGTCAAACCCGGGTCCTCTGCAAGAGCATCCAGTGCTCTTAAAAAATATTTTATTTATTATTTTTAGTGTGTATGAGTATGTTGCCTGCATGTAGGTAAGTGCACCCGTGTCATGCAATGCCCTCGGAAGGCAGAAGAGGCCATTGGATCCCCCGGAACTGGAGTTATGGACAGCTGTTAGCTGCCATATAGGTGCTGGGAGTCAAACCCGGGTCCTCTGCAAGAGCATCCAGTGCTCTTAACTCCTGAGCCATCTCTCCAGCCCCATAAATAAAATATTTTTTAAAGAAAGGTGCCTCATACTCCGTCCTATTATTTATTTTTCCTTTACCCCAGCTTGTTTCATTTCTCCCTATTGTGAACAACAGTTCCACAAATATCCAGTGTTTAAGCACACCCATTATCATCTCTTAGTATTATATTTATAATTATATAGGTAATGTGAACTCAGTATAAAAGTTTGGAAAAATACAGAAAACTTTAAACAGCCAAAAATCTAAATCCTCGTAATCCCATCACCCAATTCGCTGTTCAGTGAATTTCCTTCCCAATTGTTCTAAATTGTACACACATATGTGGCCAACACATTTCAAATAAAGAGTAGTTTTAGAAGAAGCCCGAAGACTCACAATTTCTTTGCTTTGTCGGTCAAATGTGGCCTTCACAAAGAGGGAACCCAGAGCAAAGCCAAGGGCATCATCTGTATTGGAGATGCAGGTCTGCCACCTCGGTGTGCAGGACTGTAAAGGGAGAAAGATGCAGGTCTGCCACCTCGGTGTGCAGGACTGTAAAGGGACAACCCTGACACAGTTCTGTCCTCTAGTCTGAAGGCCTTTATCTCTGGGACTAGGCCTTCTCAGCTGGACAACTGAGACTTGGGCTTGGGGTGCCATTTCTCCTTCAGACTCTAGGAAAAATGAAAGGCAATATCTCGAACTATGCCAACCCCAGAAGCAAAACCAGCAGAAGAGTCATATGTGCTGCCCATTCTATTCCCAGCACTTTTGTCTTGTGTTCCTAATATGCTCCCCAGGAGTTCAGAAGTTTCTTTTTTATTATGTTTATTTAGTCCACCACATGACCTGGGAATTGAACTCAGGTCATCAGGCTTAGTTGGAAGTGCTTTTACCAGCTGTTCTGAGCCATCTTGCCAGCCCAAGTCCAGAAGTTTCTTTGTTCAGCTCTACAATTCAAGTTTATACCCAGTCAGTCCACTATACCAGAAACTTGGGCATCATCCCAGCTTCCTCTGTTGCCTCCCAATTCAATCTATCACTAGTTTTTACTAACTTGACTTCATCAGCTCTTGTCTAGCCTGCCCCATTTCTCTATCCTATAACACTGTCATCATTTGTCTGAACATTTCAGTTGCCTCCTGACTGAACACTCTGACTCCATTCTAATACTCCATCCCTTGTTCCTCCCCTCTATCATCCACTTAGATGACAGAAAGATAACCTAATACGTAGCTTAACTATTGTACTGCTCTTCAGTGTAACTCCCAGGGTTCTCCTCTATGAAATAATCGATGTCAGACTTCATAACATAACTGCCAAGTCCCTTCATGGATGTCCCATGCCTATGTTATCAAATTCAGCCTCTGCAGCCCTGTTGTCAAGGTCCTACCAGAACTTGTGCAAATCTACCAAGCTCCTTGAGGTCTCTTGGAATTTGTATGTGCATTTCTTATGCCTGGAATGCCTTTTTCCCCTGCTTTTTCAGGGAGCTCATTCCTGTTCAAATGACACCTTCTTAGAAAAAATATTTCCTGATACCTTCCCCATTGTCCCTACATAGAGTGTGCTGTCTCAACCACTGTTCTGACACAAAGGAAGTTTTTCACACATTGCGAACACTTATCATCCCCCAAATATATGCATTTGCTTAGCCGTTTACTCCCCATACTTAATGGAGCATCTTAAATTGAAGAACAGTATCTGATCTTCTTCACCATCATCATCAAAACTGAGTACCTACATAAACCACACACAAGTACCAGTGTTTCACTTACATTAACTCAGCTAATCCTCAAGACAGCCTTGCAAGTTATTCCTATTTTACAGACCAGGAAATGGAGAGTCACAGAAACTAGCCAACATACCCAAGGTGCCATAAGGCTAAAATATGAAGGCGCTGAGATCAGAACCCATGGCAGCTTGATTCCAAATTCTGTGTTTCATACCATTTGCCCATGTGCCAATGAAGCAAATGTGCCTGACATATTACAGGCAGGCAGCATCAACTAGGTTGGGTGGAAAGGGAACAGAGAAAGAGAACCTACCTTCTTGGTGCCATAGAGGGTCTCCAGCAGCTTCTCCTGGGCAGACTCAAATCGCTGATCTAGGCTTGAGGTTGTCTTCTGTACCAGGTTCCAGATTAGATAATTGTTCAGGATGCTGTTTCCACACCAGAAAATAAGGAAAGGCATGTGGCACACCTTTTCCCTCCTCCAACCTGTCCCCAGGACCATGCAGGCCAGAAGTCCTGAAAGGTGCATGGGGAAACTGTCTAAGAGTGTCTCTCTTACTCCAGATCCACTTGCCCACAGACGTCAGCTTGGAGCAAGGTGTAGGAATAAAGGTCACAAATGGACACTCTGAAACTCTGCCCAGAGGAAGAGCCTACAGACATTCTACTTTGAAGTTTGGAAGGTCCAGGGCCTTATCACTCAGTCTGTGTACCACTTCACTGTGCCTAGTCCTGAGAGATCTCCATAGAGCCCTAAATGCCCTCCACCATCAGCACTGTGCCCCCCACCCAATCTCATCATACCTTGGTTCTGTGCGGTTGATGAGCTCTGATACCTGCTGCAAATACTCAGTCCCATATACCACCACGGGTTCAGAGTCACCTAGCTCCAACGGTGATAACAAGAAAGAAAGGAACTCAAGCCAATCCATGGATGGCGCCAGAGTCTGAAAATAAAAAAATCTTCAGATTTCCAACAGACAGCCTGGCCCCCAGTGATTTGCAATAGCCTGGGAATCCTTCCCATTGCCACAGCAACAGCTGCTGGCTGCTTGAGGACCCCTCCTGCAATAAACCCCTTTTCAGGCCTGTATGCCCTTCAGTCTGGGAGCTCAACTCCTTATACAAGGAAAGTCACTATGTGTGATACTCAGCTTGGATACAGAAATCCAAATATTTTCATAAAAGTTGATAAAATGTCACTTCCCCAACACTTCCCACATATCTGGCCTCCTAGAACCTCCCTTTCCCTAACCTCTCCATAATTCAATATCAAAAGGCCTGGCATAGCAGGGGCCCCAAGAGACACTTCCCATATCCACTCTGATTATTTTGTGGACATGTCTTTAAGTTGTTTTACTTTGTTTTGTTTTGTTTGTTTGCTTGCTTGAGAGTTTCATACTATAACCCAGGCTGGCCTTGAACTCACAGCAATCCACCTGCCTTAGCCTCCCAAGTTTTGGGGTTACAGGTATGAACCATCATGCTTGGCTAAACATTTTTAAAACAATCTTTCCATGTTCCCCAGACAACAAGAAAGAAACCAAAGGATGGTCTTGAGAGGGGTGGCTTAAAATGCTTACTATTTTTCTTTCTAGGATAGTAACAATGCATCTAGAAAGTTCAGAAAAGCAAGGAAAGGACTGGTTGCCTCAGGAATGTAGGGAAACTGGTGGTCTGGATCAGGGGCTGGCCACTCCCAAATGTCTCCAGTCTCCTGCCTACCCCACCTGCAGCTCTGAGATGCTCATCTTGTGATAGATTTTCTCCTCATCACGCCGCTGGTCCTGGGGCACTGTGATGTTGGCCAGTTGTGTCTCCAGCTCTAGTACCTGCTGCATCTGCTCCCGGGTGGAGGTTGGCTGCCCACCCAGCAGCATTCCCAGCTCCTCCATGTAGTCCAGGTAGGCAGTGAGCACCTGTGAAGGCCCCAGTCATCCTTAAACAAGTCCTACCTAAGGCTGAAATCTGCTCTGGCCCCCACCTCTGCCCACCATTTCTTCTGCTTGATGTATTTTGGAAGTCTTGGTGGCCCTGTTTCATTTCTGATACAGTGCTGACCACTGTCTGCTTTGACTTACTGATCTACCTGTGTACTTCTTGTTGTCTATTTCCCCCAGTGGGTATTGTTCAAAGTATATCAGCCATTCACCACTGAATCCCAACAGCAAAGATCAGGGCCAGGCACAGAATTGGCTCTCAGTAAATATTTGTCTGTTTCCCATAGTACTTTGCCTTCTTATTTCCTAAAGCCCTTCAAATTGTCCCAGTTCATCAGCAGTCATGTGCCTTTACTTGACCAGCTGTCTGGATCTGCAGGGAATCTGCCCCCTCAAGTCCATTCTACCTTTCAATCTAAAAGGCCTCAAACTTGCTTTTCAACATCCTCCCTTGGTACCAAAGGAAAGAAAAGCACAGAAAAGGAATATTTATATTGACTGCTATGTATCCACTGATCAGAATGCTAAGGGATTTATCTATAATGTAGCTTCCCCTGGTACCCTGAGACAACTCCATAAAGTGAGTATTAGTCCTATTTTACATAGAGGGAACAAGCTTGGAAAGAAGATGACTCCTATCACAAACTACCTCCTGACAAGGCCAGAATGCGGCTGAGGCCTAAACGCTCACTGGGCCCAGCACAAACTCAGGTTGCCTCATGCCCAGCTGGCCATCAAGACAAGGCCTGTTTGCTTTGTTAGTCCTGAATCTTGGGTCAAGTACAGTGTCTGCCACATGACAAGTATTCAATAAGTGTTTGTTGAAGAAAGGGAAGAAAACATGGAAACAGATCCTGAGTATTGTTCAGCAACCTTTAAGACAGTGTCTCACTATATAGCAGCCTAGGGTGGCCTCAAGCTCACAATTCTGTCTCAACCTTTCAAGGGTTAGGATTGCAGGCACAGACTGCCATGCTGGGCTTCCTGCCCACTTCTGACTTGAAACCCCACCGTGGGCTCACTTAATGCTAAAGGCTCTCTCTTTTCTTCACTGAAACTTTTTGATTCCTTGACATTCATTCTCTATAACTCCAAAATGTCTCCTTTTTCCCACTTTCCCCTTCACTGCTTCTGGTGTCAAAAGACCTTTATCATTTATCCTAGTTTCTAAGGGGGACAATGAAGTCAGTCAGGTGACCACACACTCTTTTCTCCCCCTACCTCCCACCCTCTGCTTAAGGCTTACTTCTGAGACTTTCCTGAATCCTCTGCACGCTTAGCCTTTTGCAATACATAGTCGCCTAGGTTCTGGGAAAACGTTTCCTGCTTAAGGAAACCAAGAGACAAAGAGAATCAAAGCAACACATAGCATAGCTGTGTTCTCAAAATTCTCTCCTCTCCTGACTTTAGGTGATGCCAGAATCCCACATCTGTTCACACCACTTTGGAGTATCCCTATTCTTTTGTTTGCTTATTTTTTATTATTTTACATGTGTATGTGCGCACATACACATAAGAACATGCATGCATGCATGTCTTATATTCATGGTGTGCCGTGTGTGGTGGTCAGAGGACAGCTCTCCGGATCTGGCTCTCTCCTGCCACTATGGGATCTGGGAATCAAATTCAGGTCACCAGGCCTATGTGCTAGCACTTCTGCCTACTGAGCCCTCTCAACAGGGGCCCATTTCCTTTCTTTTGGGATAAATACTGAATTTGCCAGTTGTGATGGGTAAAAGGGCCACTTATGTACAAGAGTTAAGACTAGCCTGGGCTAGACAGTGAAACCCTGTGTCAAAAAAGAAAAAAAGAGCCAGGTGTGGTAGTGTACACCTTTAATCCAAGCACTCTGGAAGCAGAGGAGGTGGATCTCTGTAAGATCAAGACCAGCATGGTCTACATAGAGAGTTCCAGGCTAGTTGGGGCTACAGGGAGACCCTGTCTCCAAAAAAAGGTCCCTAAATGCTAACCTTGGTCTACATGCCTGTCAAGAAGGACTTAGCCACCCTCTTATTTCCTATTTCCTCTCTCCTTCAGTCTATCAATAGCCCATCCACACTTCTTCCTCAGAACCTTTGTCTGAGCTGCTCCCTGTGCAGGACCCTCTTTCTCTCAGTTTCAGCCTACCCCAACTCAGCTAGTTGGACTCAAACTGGGAACCACATGTTTTTCCTGTATGGCGGATACAACAACTGTGAACAGGATGCTGTGTCACCAACTATTTCATGTTTTCTCCACCACTTAAAGAGCAGTGAAGGTATCTTGTTCATACATACCTAGAGAGAAGATCTGGCTGAGAAATGATCAGGAAATGTTTATGAAGAAATGACAAAAGGCCAGGCATAGTGGTGCACACCTTTAACCCCAGGACTAGCACTTGGGAGGCAGAGGCAGGTGGCTCTCTATGAGTTTGAGGTCAGCCTGGTTTACATAGAGTTCCAGGCCAGCCAGGATTATAGTGTGAGACCCTGTCTCAACAAACAAACAAACAAAGAACAAAAAAGAAAGAAAGAAAGGAAAGGAAAGAAAGAAAAGGAAAGGAAAGAAGGAAGAAAGGACAGAAGGACACAGGACTCTCCAGCTGTTCTATTCCACAGGATGCTTTTTCCCTCCCTGCCCTGAATACTAAAGATTTCCTTTCCCTGACTTTTGGCCTTCTTTCCACCTCCCCCACACCTTGTCTAGGTTTTAAAGGAGAAGCCTCTTGAGCTCCTGGCTCCTTTCACACTATCCTCCCTCCAGCACTCCACCAACTTCCACAACAGCCTGCTGACCTCTCATACATATATGCAGACATGCCCAGGTCCCTCAAACTCCTATGTCTAAAATGATAGACTCCAACACACTGAATGTCTGTACCCCACACCCTAATCCTATGCTTCCCTCTTCACAGATGTGGAAACAGCCACAGAGAGACCAATCAATTGCAACAAGCAGCAGAGCTGAGACTGAAATCCAAGTCTGATTTCAAAGACTCCTTGTCCTGTATCATCACAGAGTCTCCTGGTCCCCAGTGTACCCCAAGCTGGTTCTTTCTACAAATACTGCTGACTCCCTAAGAGCCATTCCATTCTGACATCCAGTAACCGTCATGATTCCAGCTTGATGATGCCTTGTAGCTTCAGCTCCCTAGCACTCATCCTCTACCCCTCCCTCACCTGGGCCCTTACTGGATCAGAGCCTGGGTGTCAGAAACTCTTCACTTGTCTGCAGACTCCCTCCCTTGCATCTACTTCTTACTTCCAGACAAACTGGCTCCCCAAGGTACCGCTCACTGTGTCACGCCACTGTTCTCTGGAACATGGGGGTGGCATTCCAGGGGCTACAGCATAAATGTCTTTGAAACATTCAAGATCTCTATAAGGAGTCCCTGACCACCTTCTAGTCTCCCATCTGCTCAGTAGCACCACACCCTGCCAAACCATACTTCTTGTCACAGTCTAAACACATCTAGCCTTTCTGTCTTCACCATTATGTTTAACACATTCTCTCTATGCCTTCTGTTGCTCCCTGAACCCTTTCCCATGATCCAAACATACCTTTTTTCTTTCAACACTTGTTAAACCTGTCTCTACATGGAAAGAGTTCTGTTGCTCCTTTGTAGTCTTTTTTTAACTTTAAAAAAATGTTTATTATTTTTATTTTATGTGTATGCGTGTATTGCCTGCATGTAGGTAAATGCACCTGTGTAGTGCAATGCCCATGGAGGTTAGAAGAGGCTGTCGGATCCCCTGGGATTGGAGAGTTACGGACAGTTGTTAGCTGCCATGTGGGTGCTGGGATTTGAACCCAGGTCTTCTGCAAGAACAACCAATGTTCTTAACCACTGAGACTTATCTCCAGCCCCCTTTGTAGTCTTTTTTAAGACTCTGTGTGTGTGTGTGTGTGTGTGTGTGTGTGTGTGTGTGTGCGTGCAGGTTCCCACAGAGGCCAGAAGAGGCCGTCAGATCCCTTGGAGCAAGGAGTTGTGAACCCCCTGACATGGGTGCTGGGAACTGAACTCGAGTTCTCTGGAAATGAAGAAAATGCTCTTAACTGCTAAGCCATCTCTCCAGACTCCTGTAGTCTTTTATTTTATTATTTTTATTCTATGTGTATGTGTATTGCCTGCATGTATGTGAGTGCACCTGTGTCGTGCAATGCTGCAGCAGTCAGAAGAGGGCTTCTGTTTCCCCTGGAACTGGAGTTAAGGATGGTTCGTAGCCTCATTGTGGGTGCTGGGAATTGAAACCGGGTCCTCTGCAAGAAGAGTTAGTGCTCTTAACCACTGAGCCATCTCTCCAGCCCTTCCTGAGGTCTTTTTAAAATTTATATTTATTTACTTGCAGGAGATAGTTTTCCCTAGGGCTGGAAGTGTAGCTCAATAATAGAGTGCTTGCCTAGCATTTACATTTATATAATTTAAAATTATATTTATATATATTTATATTTTGAATGCATGTTTGTGGTTACATGTGTGTAGAGAGAAACTTGCAGGAGACAGTGTTCTCCTTCAGTCGTGTGGGGGTGGGTATGATATCCCAGGCATTGTATTCAGTTTGTCAGGCTTAAGATCAAGTGTCTTTACCTGCTGAGCAATCTTGCTGGCCCACTTATTTGTTTCTATAAAGTCCAGCTCAAATTTGACCTCTTAGGAAAACCACTGGATGCCTACATCTCACCTGAGTCTTAGAGACCCTTTTGGACCTTGTTTTTGGCTGTCTAGGTTCACAAATCCATTGACATTGAAAACTTCCTGTGACAATGACTCTGAAATTTACATCTCAGAATTTCCCCCATTGCATCTGGCACATAGTATGTGACCCACAAAATGTATGCCTGGGGCTGGAAATGTAGCTCAACAATAGAGTGCTTGCCTAGCATGCGCAAGGCCTTGGTTTGATTCCCAGTATCTCAAAAAGAAACATTTCCTGGAAGAAGAGGAAGGGAGAGAGGAAAGAGGGAAAAGAAGAAAAGAGGGAATAAAGGGTAATCAGCTTGCTAGGCAACACAATTGGGCTCACCTTCCCCACTCTGACCCTGGGCAAAGAGGAAAGTATATGGGGGTCAGCCAGCTCAGCAAGGGATGGGGATGGGAGTTCTGAGGATGCTCCTTACTTTCTCATTGGCAGTTCTATTTAGGTAGTAATCTCGAGAGGGCAGAAAGAGCCCAGACTGGTCCACCTGCAATAGCAAGGAATAAAAGTTAGTACCCTTCCCATTTCAAACTTGACACTCCTGGACAGGGGGACCTAGCCCAGCCTATCTGTCATAGGAGAGGAGAATCTGAGCCCAGCAAAGGGTCCATAAGTCCCTCCCTACCCTTCCCCAGCCAGGCACCTGTATGACATTGCTGTTGGAACTCTTGGAATCAGCACTGATGTAGACGGTGAAGAAGGGGGTAGCTCTGTAGGTCCCTGCTACTGCCTTTAGCACTTCCATGAAGTTGTCCTCATCCCATGGCCCCGTAATGTTCCAACCACCAATCTGAGTAGAGATCATAAGTGGAATATCTGGTACAGGAACTTTCAAAGTTTCCTTGGACTACATCCTGTCCCACCTGCTCCTCTTGCCCACCCAGTGCCCCCTGCCTTGTCAATGAGATCTCGAAGTGGCTGGGCTCCTAGCTCCTCAATGCGGTCCATCTGCAAGCAGGACAAATAGAAGCGCTGTGTCTTCCGTTCAGCTTCACTGCTAGAGTTGAAAGTGGTATTCTCTGCAGGAGGGGTGGGTAAGAACACAGGGTCCAGGTAGCAATTAGATTAACCACTGAGGGGAGCCTCTGGCTTTGGTTCCTCTTGCTCATGTATGTATGTATACATATATACATATGTATTTTGTGGTACTGGGCTACACAAGCACTCTACCACTGAGTCCTCTATTTACTTTTTTAAATTTGAAGACAGGGTCTCAATAAACTGCCCAGGCTGGCCCTGAACTCACTCTATAGCCTAGACTGGCCTATACCTTTCAATCCTCTTGCCTCAATCTTCTGAGTAGTTGGGATTACAGGCCTATATCACCAGGCTAGGTTCTCTTGCCCTTTTAATGTAGTCAGTCTCAAGAAGACTGAAATGAGAAATTATGGCTTTGCCTCTCCTATTTGTGAAGACCCTCAAAGAAAGGCTCCATTATACTGAGTCTGCCCACTCTAACCCAATCTCAAGTTCTCAGGAGCCCTTGCTCTCTGCATGCTCTCCCTCAAGAGTTTCACAGAGCAATCCATTACTTGTGGACATTTATAATCAACCAAGTGCTACATCATGTGTTAGATATGAAGCATAAGATTGGCACAGCACCTCCCTTACAGCCTGTCCTGGTTTGTTTCTTCATTGCTGTGACAAAATACTCTGACCAATACCAACTTTGGGAGGAAAGGGCTTATTTAGCTTACATATCCAATTTGGGGAGGAAAGGGTTTATTTTGTCTTACATCTCCCAGGTCACAGTTCATCACTGAGGGACCTCGGGGCAAGAACCTGGAGACAAGAACTGAAGCACAGACCATGGAGGAAGGCTGCTTACTGACTGGGTCCTCTGGCCTGTGCTCAACCTTGTTCTCTTATACAACACAAGTCCACCTGCCCAGGGGTGGCACTACCCACAGTGGGCTGGGCCCTCCCACATCACTTAACAATCAAGAAAATACCCCACAGACATGGCCACAGGCCAGTCCAATGGAGGCAATTCCCCAGTTGAGGCTCCCTCAGCCCACGTGTGTCAAGTTGACACTAAAGCTATCCAGCACAGCCCCCACTCACCAAGTAAGTGCTTCAGTATCGCCTGGTTTTGGTCCCAGAGGCTGTTGAAAGTGTTCCAGCGAGAATGCCCATTGGGAAGAGGGTTTCTTCGAATCCAACCTCCACAGGAGAACTGATAAAAGTCCTGACAGGGGTTCACCCCACGGTCCAGGGACTCCAGGATTTTTCCAGCTACTCTAATGCATGTTTCTGTGAGGCAGGTGCCATGGGCTGGGTCTGTGGCAGGGGAGCATGGTGGAAAGTAAGAGACTGTCAATTAGGGTGGAAATGCAATGAAAGCAGGAAGTTGGGAAGGCTGGCCCCAATCAGAGAAAAATTTAGAGGCCCTTCAACTTCTAGAGCCCTCATAGCTATGAAGACTGCTGACAGGTGTGGACCCACCTACCTTTGTGGTACTGGACCCCCAGGGCCACAAGGCAGCCCAAAAGAAGTGCAGTTAACACTAGAGAGACACCTGCCAAGACCAGCTCCAGCTGCGTGTGTGAGCCAAAGAGTTGTCTGTTCCTCTTCTGGAATCCCACCTAGGGAAGAGAATAGAGCTGCATGGTGCAGATCCAAGATTACAGAAGTCCTCCCAGAGCATGAAGGTATGGGCGGTTTCCAGCCATGAAGAAAAGTGCTAGTGGGGTTAACTTCGGGCCCAGGGGCAATGAGGCAGGTGGAGCCTGCTTTGTGCAACGTCATGGCTTAGAATTGCCTCACCATAGTCCTGGCTCAGAGGCCAGAAATTGAGTGGAAATGAGGGCAGGTGACCCTCCAGAATAGCCCAGAGCTCATGGTTATGGCAGGCGTCATCCAGGCTGGGGCCTGATGAGAATGGAAGGACCCCTTGCCCACCTCCAGGGCGTCCGGGGTGTCCCCGCCCTCTACTGGGGTCTCCGGTGCATCTTCATCCTGAAGCTTGGCCCGTTTGTACTCCATCATCTGCCGGACAGTTCAGGGCACCAACCGAGGTCAGACAGGGAGGGCTATCTGCCCAAGGCCCTGCCTGGGTGTCCCTCGCCGGGGGCGGGGGAGGGGGGATTCCGGCCTGCAGAGAGGGTCCTTCCCACCTGCCGAACTCTCAAAGCTGGGGTCCCCTCGGACACCATTCCTAGCTAACTCCCCACATGCGCAAGCCGGAGCCCCTGCCAGACTCTGCCTGCTCCCTCATCCCCCGCCCTCCACACCTCGTGCCTCCTCCTCCCACGGCTTCTCCCTTAGGGCCCAGCGCCCCCCACTCACATTGCCCCCGCCGCCCAGCTCCTGCAGCGCGACGTTCATGATGGAGTCGGCCGTGCGGTTCCTTAGGGCTCCTGGAGGCTAACCCGCCCCGGGACTACGGCCCCAGCCACCCACAGGGCTCCGCCACTGCCCGCCATCACAGTCTCTGCTGCGGCCCCGTGCTCGGCCCGCCACCGCGGCCCTGGCGTTCTCAAGTCCTCCCCCCACCTTCGCTCGCTCGGGGGTGGGAGCGAGGGGGAGGGGCGGAGTGCGCGCCGCTAGGAGCCAGCACCTGCGCCCAGACTGTTCAGAGCCGCCGCTGCCCTCCATCCAGCCGCAGACCACACCCTCCCTCTTCATGATCAGCCCTCCGTCAGCCACCCAAAATTCGCTGTCCTTTGATTGAGGCCTAATTTCTGCTACTATTCTTTGGTCTGGCTCTCCAAATTTCAGGCTTTCTCCAAGCCCTTTAAATGATGTAGAGGATTCAGGCTCCTTGAAGGATCCTCTCTCCCTAGTAGTCTTTATGGCCTTTAGTCAGTACATAGAGAGACCACAGGCAGTTCACCCCTATGCTGGCGTCCACAGGGTATCTGCACAGCAGACAGACCCCAAGTACACAGGCACACACAGACTCAGAAGCAACCACACTGTGCACACACAATATCTAACACACAGCATACTCAAAGTCTGGTGTCACTGGGGACACACAACAAGCACACACCAAGTGCCAAGTGCGAGGGCAGCACACACTACACACAGCTCATACTAATGCTGCTCTTACATGTTGCTTTAAGATGGCACTTGTAGTCTCCAAGATCATTGCTGTCATCAGATCATCTCATAAAGGGAGGGTTACAGATGGTGACAAATTGGCAGGGAAAAAAGCAGCCATGCACAGATATTTAAAGAAAAGACATGCTAACACTTCTAACTTGGGGAAAGCAAACGATTTTATTTGGGAGGTTTACAAGGAAAAAAATAACACTGAGCAATATTGAACTGAAACGCAACAGTGTGGCATCCATGCATCTGCCATCTGCTTTCCATATTGTCATCCTCAAACAGGAGGGGTGTGTTGTTACAGTCTGCTGCACCAAAGACTGCCTGGTGTTTTTTACAGTCGGTGAGAGGGGATGGGCCCTGGGGCCCTGCTTCAGTGTCCTCTCTGTAGCCCCACCAAAAGAGTACAAGATTTTTTTTTTTTTTTTGGTCTTTTTGAGACAGGGTCTCCCTGTAGCCCCAGCTGTCCTGGAACTCACTATGTAGGCCAGGCTGGCCTTGAACTCACAGAGATCCACCTGCCTCTGCCTCCTGAGTGCTGGGATTAAAGGTGTGCGCCACCACGCCAGGTGAGAAACAAGTGTTCTTAATCACTTAGCCATTTCTCCAGCCCCTATTTTGAGTGTTATCATCATTAAAGTCCTAGAACTAGGGTAGGATTTACAAGGCTGGAGAAAATGTATTCTATTTGCCTGATGGTGGAGCATGCAGGAGGGTGTTAGGTTAATCGGAGGGATTCCCTAAGCAAGGAGCTTTCACATCTAGCCAAACTGTAGTCTGAAGCATCAAGGCCTTGGGAAGTTGACATGGGGCGTTTTTGGAGTTGTTATCAATCTGATGTCAATACGGCATTACAGCATTCACCTCTTCCCCTTTCCCTTCCAAGACTAGACGAAAGAGACATGACAAGAAAAAACTGGGTGAGGTGGCACATGGCAGTAATGCCTGTACTTGGGAGGTGGGAGCAAGAGGATCATCCTCAGCTATATAGTGAGTTTGAAGTCAGCCTGGAATATATGAGACCCTGTTTAAGAAAGAAAAGGGAGGGAGGGAGGGAGGGAGGGAGGAAACAAAAAACAAACAGCATGAGCCAAATCTGGTGGTACAAGCCTACCATCCCAGCCACTCAGGATCAGAAAGATATCAAATTCAAGCTCTTCTGGGGCTACAGAGTGAGTTTAAGGCACCTTGGGCAATTTAGTGAGATCTTGTCTAAAAATCAAAAGTAAAGCCAGCATAGTGGCACACACCTTCAATCCCAGCACTCTGGAGGCAAAGGCAGGCAAATTTCTATGAGTTCCAGAGGCTGTGGAGGGCTATACAGTGAGGCCCTGTTTCAGAAAAAAAAAGGGGGGGGCGGGTCAAAAGTAGAAAGGTGATGGGAATAGATCTCAGTGGTAAAGTGCTTGCCCGGCATGCATGAGACCCTAGGTTCAAGCCCCATATCTTTTACTTTATTTTATTTTATTTTATTATTTTATGTGTATGCGTGTATTGCCTGCATGTATGTAAGCGCACCGTGTTGTGCAGTGCCCTCGGAGAACAGAAGAGACTGTCAGATTCCCTGGAACTGGAGTTGCGGACAGTTGTTAGCTGCCATGTGGGTGCTGGGATTCGAACTCAGGTCTTCTGCAAAAACAACCAGTGTTCTTAACTGCTGAGCCATCTCTCCAGCCCCATATCTTAAAGAGAGAGAGAGGAGTGAGAAGAGGAAAGTCAAACCAAAATCATCAAGCATATATATGAGAAAACTCATATATGTGTGTGTATTTGAGTTTGCACACCACAGTTCTAGGTGATTTACATATATGTACTCATTTATCGTAATGACACAGCTACTAAGTGGCAGAGCTGGGATTCAAAACTACAGCATTTGATTATTTTCTGGAAAGCAGACTGGCAATATGAATCAAGAGGAGGCTATGCTTCTCCCAACATTCGCTGTATTAGCCATAGCTCCTCTAAGAAGCAAAAACACATCCATTTGGAAGCCAGACTGAAGCTTTGCACTGAAGTGTAGGCCCCATTCCTTATTAACTGACATCTTTATCAAATTATTTGACAACTCTAAATTTTCCTAATGAAAACAATGATCCCTATCTCAGAAAACTAAATGCAACCATGTGAAAGTCTGATATGTATTTTTTTCGTTTTGTAGGTTTTTTTTTTTTTTTTTTTTTTAGTCTTTTTGAGACAGGGTCTCCCTGTAGCTGCAAGTGGCCTGGAACTGGCTACGTAGACCAGGCTGACCTATTACAGAGATCTGCCTGCCTGTACCTCCCAAGTGCTGGGACTAAAGGTATAAGTGGCACACACCCAGCAAAAAGTCTAATAAGTAGCTGGGCATGGTGGCACATGCCTTTAATTCCAGCACTCAGGAGGCAGAGGCAGGCAGATCTCTGTGAGCTCAAGGCCAGCCTGGTCTCCATTAGCGAATCCAGGCCAGCTGTGGCTACAGTGAGACCTTGTCTCAAAAAGACAAAAAAGTCTAATATGTATTAATAATGGTTTCAGAGTCACAGACTTTACATAAATGAATACTTTATTTTCATGTCTCCTTCATGATCAAAATCATTCTTAAGCCCGTAGTTACTCCCGTCTACATCTTAAGTATTATATTAGAAACTTGGGGAACTGGAGATGGCTCAGTGATTAAGAGCACTGGCTGCTCTTATAGAGGACCCTGGTTCAGTTCCCAGCACCCACATGGGGCTAACAATCATCAGTAACTCCAGTTCCAGGGAATCTGACGCCCTCTTCTGACTTTCATAAGCGCTGAACGACAGGGTGCACTTATATACATGTAGGCAATATACTCATACACTTAAAATAAAAATAGTTTAAAAAATTAAAAAGCAAGGGGGCTGGACAGATGGCTCAGCAGTTAAGAACATTGGTTGTTCTTGCAGAAGACCCAGGTTGGAATCCCAGCACCCACGTGGCAGCTAGCAATTGTCTGTAACTCCAGTCCCAGGGGATCTGACAGCCTCTTCTGACCTCTGCAGGCATTGCACCACACGGGTGCACTTATCTACATGCAGGCAATACACACATACACATAAAATAAAAAAATAGCCGGGTGTGGTGGTGCACGGTGTGTTTGCTATAGTGCATGTATGGGGGGGTCAGAAGACCACTTACTGGAGTCAAGTCTTTCCTTCCACTTCTGAGTCCCAGGATTCAAACTGAAGAGGTCAGATTTAGTAGTGAGTACCTTTACCCACTGAGCCATCTTACTGATCCATATCCATGCTTTAAAAAGAAGGAAACCAGGGTTAAGAGATGGCTCAGCAGTTAAGAGCACTGACTGCTCTTACAGAGGACCTGGGTTCAATTCCCAGCACCCACATGGCAGCTACAAACCGTCCTTAACTCCAGTTCCAGGGGAATCCGAAGCCCTCTTCTGACCTCCATGGCATTGCACAACACGGGTGCACTCACATACACACAGGCAACACACTCATACACATAAAATAAAAATAATAAAAATAAAATTAAATAAGTAAAAAATAAAAATACTTGGCATAGCTATCCTGTAACACTATTATTTTCTTCTGTGTTTATCACTTGATTCTGTTCTATTTTTCCTCCCTTTTCTGTTCTTACTTTTCTACCTGAGTATCAATTGTTTATTACAGGATGTCGTCCAGGCTGTCCTCAAACTGTTACTGGGTATAAAAGACGTACAGCACCATGTCTGGCTGTCTCCCACCACCTTTCAGCCTTTCTTTTTTTAAAAAATATTTTATTTTTATTTTTTTGGTCTTTTTGAGACAGGGTCTCCCTGTAGCCCCAGCCATCCTGGAACTCACTATGTAGACCAGGCTGGCCTTGAACTCACAGAGGCCTGCCTGCCTCTGCCTCCCAAGTGCTGGGATTAAAGGCATGCGCCACCATGCCCAGCCTGTTATTTTTATTTTATGAGTGTATTGCCTGCA